GGCCGCCTTTCTGCGGCAGTGAGCCTGTAAATAGAGTCCATGGATGGAAGGTTGGCTTCTGCGATGTTCTGGGCCTCACACACCACCTTCTGTAGTTTCTTGCGGTCCTGGGCAGAGCAGTTGACATACCAGGCCGTTATGCACCCAGACAGTATGCTTTCAATGGTGCATCTGTAGAAGTTAACGAGGGACCTTATGGACATGCAAAATTTCCTGAGCTGCCTGAGGAAGAAAAGGCATTGTTATGCATTCTTGACTGTCGCATCTACGTGGGAAGTCTACAACAGGTTGTCAGTTAACTTCACTCCAAGGAACTTGATGCTCTCCATCCTGTCAACCTCAGTTCCATGGATGTAGATGGGTGCATGTTCTCCTGCTTTCTTTCTGAAATCGATGATCAGTTCTTTAGCTTTGCCGATTATTGAGAGCTGATTGTTTTCATTACACCACATCACCAAGCCTTCTATCTCTCTTCTGTATTTTGACTCGTCATTGTTAGAAACACGTCCCACATCCCACTGGTTTCGTCAGCAAACTTGTAGATAGGTTCATTTAGAATTTGGCAACACAGTCGTAGGTATACAGGAAGTACAGTAGAGGGCTGAGGACATATCCTTGGCAGGGGGGCTTCAGTGTTCACTGTTATTTGGGAGTGGTGCGGTTACTGATCCTCATTGATTGCGGCTTATGGGTTAGAAAGCTGAGGATCCAATTGCAGAGGGCGGAGCTAAGATCATGGTCACAGTCACGCAGATTTGAGATCAGTCTGGAGGGGATGATGGTGTTGACTACAGCTCTGCCTTCAATGAGCAGGAGTCTGACGTAGGTGTCTTTGTTGTCCAGTCTGTAAAGTTTCAGCTGGAAAACTTGAAATCATTTTGGTAATACATTTCTTTCAAATTAATATAGACCAAGCTTAAGGCTACATATGTTCAGGATCTAGTTTATGGAGAAATTGTAGTTGATGCCATTGTAATTAACACTTATTTGTAAAATTACATCTGAGATGGAGATCTGTGATGTAGCATGTTACGATCTGTTCACAGTTGCATTCAATTGCAACAAATATTTCTTTGGTTTTAAACATGTAGTTATCACACTTCAGTTAAATTTGGTAAAACAAATCAACAATGAAGGGGAGCCAATGTCATGATATTCATGAGTGAAAGGGTGTGGTGTTTATTACCCTGAAAAATAGAATGAAATGCAACAACAAACAGTTTTTCTTTTGAGAGCTTTAGAGGAATCCGACGTTTCGAATTGAGTGACCCTTACTCAGAACTCAGGACATAGGCATTGCTGACTGGGTCAGCATTTATTGCCTATCTCTAATTGCTCTTGAGTCAGTGGTGTTGAGCTGCTCTCTTGAACTATTGCGGTCCCTGTGCTGTAGGTACACCTGCATTGCCCCTAGGGAGGGAATTCCAGGATGTTGATCCAGCAACAGTGAAGGAACAGCAATATATTTTCAAGGCAGGATGATTAGTGACTTGGAGGGGAACTTGCAAATGGTGATGTTCCCATGTATCTGCTGCCTTTGACCTTCTAGGTGGAAGTGTCCATCAGTATGGAAGGCGCTTTCTAAAGATCTTTGGTGAATTTCTACTGTACATCTTGTAGATGGTACACACTGCTGCGACTGAATATTGGTGATGGAGGGAGTGGATGCTTGTGGATATAGTGCAAATGAAATGGGCTGCTTTGTCCTCAATAGTGTCAAGCTTCTTGAATGTGGTTGCTGCTGCATCTATCCAGGCAAGTGAGTAGTATTCCATTTCGCTCCTGACGTTTGCCTTGTAGATGATGGACAGGCTTTGGGGAATCGGGGTGAGTTAGTCTCTGCAGGGACAGGCGGTGGCCTAGCGGTAGTATTGTTGCACTGTACCTAGGTCTCTAGATTAAATGTTCTAGGGACCTGGGTTTGACTCCTGTCACAGCAGATGCTGGAATTTGAATTCAATGAAAATCTGGAATTAAGAATTTAATGATGACCATGACTCCAGTGTTGATTGTCAGAAAACCCATCTGATTTAACTAATGTCCATTAGGGAAAGAAACTACCATCCTTACCTGACACTAGACCCACAGCGATGCTGTCAACCCATGAATGAATTAAAAAAAAATCCTAGCCTCTGATCTGCTCTTGGAGCCACTGTATTTATATGGTGAGTCTAGTTGAGTCTCTGGTCAATGGCAAGCCCCAAGACGTTGATATTAAGGGATTCAGTGATGGTAACATGATTGAATGTCAAGGATGGTAGTTAGATCGTCTCTTATTGGAGAATGTTATTGCCTAGCATTTGTGTGAAAGTGATTTTCCACTTGTTAGCCCAAGCCTGGATGTTGTTCACATCTTGTCACGTTTGAACATGGACTCCTTCAGTATCTGAGGAGTCATGAATTGTGCTGAAAATTTTGCAATCATTGATGACCATCCCCACTTCTCACCTTACGATGTATGGAAGGTCATTGAAGAAACAGCGGAAAATGGTTGGGCCCAATGACATTGCTCTGAGGAACTCCTGCAGAGATCTTCTGGAGCTGAGACGGCTGATCTCCAACAACCACAACTGTCTTCCTTTGTGTCAGGTATGATTCCTACCAGCAGAGAGTTTGCCCTTGATTCCCAATGATTCCAGTTTGGTAGGGCTCCTTGATGCTACATTCAGTCAAGGGCCTTTACTCTCACTTCACCTCTAGCTGTTTCATCCATGTTTGAACCAAAGCTGTAATGAGGTCAGGAGCTGAGTGGCTCTGGCAGAACCCAAACTAGGCATCAATGAGCAGGTTATTGCTGATCAGCTGCTGCTTGATAGCACTGTTGATGACACTTTCCATCACTTTACTGATGGTTGCGAGTAGACTGATGGACCGGTAATTGGCCAGGTTGGGTTTCTCTTTCTTTTCGTGTACTGGACATACTTGAGCAATTTTCCACATTGTCGGGCAGATGCCAGTGTTGTAGCTGTATTGAAACATCTTTAGTACAATTGCCTGAATGTTGTCAAGGTCCATAGCCTTTGCAGTGTCTCCAACCATTTGTTGAAATCATGAGGAGTGATTTGAATTGGCTGAGGACTAACGTCTGTACCCACTGGTGACGGCCAAGATGGGTCATCCACTCGACACTTCTGGCTGAAGATTGTTGTGAATGCTTCAGCCTTATCTTTTGCATTGATGTGTTGTGTTTTTTCATCTTTGAGGATGCAGATATTTGTGGTGCCTCTTCCTCCAGTGAGTTATTTAATTGTCCACCACCATTCACACCTGGATGTGACAGGACAGCAGAGCTTAGATCTGATTCTATGGTTGTGAGATTGCTTAGCTCGGTTTATCGCTTGCTGCTTATGCTGTTTGGCACGCAAGCACTCGTATTTGTTAGCTTCATTTTTGGGTATGCCTAGTGCCAACGCTGTCATCTTGCCCTCCTTGAATTCATTATTTCTATGGATTGAATGCCGTGTATGGCTGTTTAACCAGGCCTTTTGTGCCTGTTGAAGTCTACAGCATTTTTTTAGTATAAACTACACTCAGTGATTGAGAATAATGCAATTACTTTGTAGCTGAGAATTTCTATTGTATTGTTGCTGTGAAGGCTGATTAAAGAACATTACCTCCACACTTTGAGAAGACTTAACCCCAATAAAAAGGGAACTGTACCAGGTTAGCTTATTGGGTGTCACCAATAACTCTGCATCTTTCATAATCAATTATTAGAGTGGCACAGGAGTATTGTAAAGCCTTTGTCACTGGAATGATAATGGTAACAGTATTTAAAAAATTGCTGCCTTGCATCCGTGTTACTAACTGATAATCAACCATTTGCAGTATACATTTGAGTGTCATTTTCTGTTTTAAAGTCAAACAAAAGAATTCAAATTTCAATGGTTTGGCTTAATCATTTGGTGACTTTTCAATTCAAATCATTCATTTTTTAAATGCATAAAATGGTTGTATTATGTACTAGTACTTAAATCAATAGATTTTTGCAGCTCGAAGAAGTAATCAACTAATTAAACATTTAACACTGGCAGGTTAATTAATTCTGGTTTATATTTGAGTACTTTTCTGTCACTCTTGAGCTCTGCTAAAATATTGAATGTGTGGATATCTTCACAATATCTTATTAAGTGTTTTAATAATGATTGCAGGTAGTTGAAGCTAAATTTTTACATGTTACTTTGTTTTCTTTACTGAAGATATTTTTCTCAGGTTTGGATTTGCAAATCAACACAATTTATTGCAATTTTATTCATTCATAATTGCATTTATGATAACACACTTAATGATTTCATGGTACCTTGAAGTGCTTTACAGCAATGAAGCATGTTTGAAGTGTAGTCACTATTCTAACATAGGAAACGTAGCAACCAGTTTACGCACAGCAATGTGGAGAACATAACAATGAAATTGCGACCAGGTAATCTGTTTCAGTGATCTGACCACACACACAGCACCCTTTTTCTTCTTCTTTGTACTGCCATGGGGTCTTTCACATCTACCTAAAAAGACAGAATCTTGGCTTTATCATCTCATCTGAAAGATGACATTCCTGGCAATGGAGCACTCACTTGGTAGTGAGACTGCAGTTTTAACCAAAATTATGCCCTGAGTCTGTCCCTGTAGAGTGGTATTCAATCTGTGACCTTCTGACTTGGAAGTGCGAATGCTACCAATGAGCCAAAGCTGACACCTCAGTATTGTCTCAAAGTTCAAGAACAGCTGGGTTCATGTCAAAATTGGTCTTTGTTATTGCATCCCAAAAGGAGGTCTTTTGATAACTTTTATTAGTAGTTGAATGCATCAAAAGCTGTTAAGAAACCATTAATGCCTGCCAGCAGCAAGAGGCTGAAATGTTCTGAGATAGCTTTACAGGAGCAGTGTTATGTGTAGATTATAGGCTAGGTTTATTAAAATTATATTTACTACATTTGTACTATTCCAATTTCAAACTTGAATAATTTCTAAAACTACATTTTAAATATATTTTTGTGTCATAGGCTTGGTCTGTATGAAGTCTAGCAGTTCTGTTGTGGAGTTGGTCATGTTACTCTGTTCTCAGGTAAGTCTTTGCAAATGATTTAAATTAGCTTATCATAATATAACATGCAAATACAATATATGTATTAAAGTATGTACCACTTGAGTGAACAGAAATTAAAATAAATTAAATGTTTTTAGCTTTTATCCTGTTAATTGAATGCTTCCCTTCCCCAAGTTATCCATTTGTATAATTGTATAATATGCTGCCAAAATGCCACGTTAGTAATGTGCTTTATGTCTACTATTGTTTCCAATGTACCAAATTTTAAACGTTTGTTATATGTATGAATTGTTATTTCAGGTTTTTTTGATCATAATTTTCAAAATTTTCGGAAAATATAGAACACAATTTCATCTAAATATTTGAGTTTTTAAACAATCCTATGGAAGGCAAGTTATTTACTTTTTAAAAAAAAATCTAAAGAATAGGAAAGAGCAATTGTTATTTTCTGTGGGGTTATTTGTCCTGCCTTATCACATGAAGATTGTAACAGCTTAAGCTGTCAATATATAATTTTTATGTTTTTTGTGCCCCCATAGTGATCTTTATTTGGCTTATTTTGTACTAATTTAGAAATTAATTTATATGTATTCAAAAATTTTCAGCATTAGTTAGAGACCATGAATAAAACAAAGGCTATAGAAGGAGAGAAGAAGGCTTCAGAGGTCATGGGTTCTGACCCTTTTCAAAGCTTTTGACCTTCATTTACAACCTAAAGGTTTACTTGGCTGACAAATAAGGATAATGCATCATTAATGCTCCTTTGCATCGATTCATTCATTTTAGTGGGTATGTTGCCAAATTTATTTAGGTCATGCTGACGAATAGGTCATGAATATAAATGAAAGAATCATGGAAGGTGTGAAAAATCAATGCTACATGTTGTCAATATGATGCAATAAGCAAATTTACTTGAGAAGATCACAACTAATGGATCTGGGATAAACTAGTAAGCACAGCAATGCATTCCTGAAGGTGGTTCTGCTATTGCGTAGAGATTATACAAAGTGGAAGTTTTGAGGAATACAAAAGGAATTGAAAAATTTGCCACGTAAAGTAGAAACTGCGGTAAAACAATTTGATGAAGGTTACTGCTTAAAGCTTATTCAAATCTGTTTCCGTTCATATTCAGAATTAAGTCAGTTTCAGCATCACTTCGCCTGTTTCTTAAATAACCTGCTGATTTGCAGGACTAACGCTTATCAGATTTGAGCTACAGTTATATGAATAGTTAACTGTGATCAGCGAACTTCATGATATATTGAACATTTTTGAAAGAATTCATTTAGAAAGGATGTCTAATTTGAATAATTCAAAAGTATACTTCTATCTGTGTCTGTCTGTCTGTCTGGCCATTGTCCCTATCAGTGTTTCTGCCTCTGTATTTTCCATTCAAGCACCATGGCCTCCTTCTTGCTTTAATATTCTCTTTCTGGTTCAGCCACTCCCACATGCTCAGTACTTGACCTTCCTCTCTCCAGCCTCCCCCTCTCTCTGCATGTCTAGTCCACAGTTTCACTGCCTTTTGCTCCTTTTCTTTATCACTGCCATGTCCCATCTACCGTCTTTGGCTCTGACGCTGTCTGTCTGTCTCTGTCTCTGCTCCTCTCTGCCTCTCCCATCTCCCACTCTCCCTCCCTGTTAGAGTGTTAATGTCAGTAGGCTAATAATTCAGAGCCCAAGGTGACTGTCCTAGGTGCATGGGCTTGAAACCCACCTTGGCAAATGGTGAAATTTGAATTCCGTTTTTAAAAAGTCTGGAAGAATAAAAACCTCACCAAATAACAACAGTGTAACCACTGCTGATTGCCGTAAAAACCCATCTGATTCGCTAAGTCCTCAAGGAAAGGCAATCTGCCATCCTCACATGGTCTTGTCTACATGTGACTTCTGACTCACAGGAATGTGGTTGACTTTTGGTCCCCTTCAGCAATTAGGAATGAGCAATACATGCTGGCATAGCAGTGACTCCTATATTTGAATGACAAAACCAAAATGTCTGCTATCTCACTGGTTGCACCCTGGTTGCGGCCTCTCCGTGCTTTCTTGCAGTCACACTCCCCACTTTCTTCTAGCAACCCTCCCTGTGCGCTGTATCCATCATCAACACACACACTCTTGTAGCTGCTCTCCCTGCTCTATCTTTAGTCACCTTCTCCGCACACAGTCTCTCGTGGCCATCCTCTCCCGTTTTCTCTCTCACCCTGGCATTCTGTAATATTCCTCCACTGCCCACAGTCCATGCTGTTAGCACACCATTCCTCTGCCCCACTGCACTATCTGTCAACCCCACCATGCTTTACTGTCATTGCCCAGTGCTCTCCCTGTTGTTTCTATTGTGTTTTCCCTGTTTCATCCACTATCTGTGTCATCCCCTCCTCCTCGCCATTGTGCTCCCCTTTGATCTCCCCCCCCCCCCCCCCCCCCCCCCCCCCCCCCCCCTCCCCCCC